ATTATATATATACATTTGAACTTCATAAGCTTCCGATCCTTAGCTATGATTAATTAATGATGAATTTATGATCGATTTCATCACAATTCCTCTGTTAAGATTGAAGATTATGAATCATTCTTATTACTCAAAGTAGAGTCCATCAGTATTATAAAACCTCGGTGAATTCCAGTAAGATATCTTTAATCGTTTTAAAGATACAACGTTTCATAGCTTAATCTAACAAATGGACAAATTTGTTTTAACACAATTTGGACAATTTTGCTGTTACACCCGGTAGATTGGAATTCAACAAAATTATAGGATATATAGGGTATTTTTCAGCGCCTCCGTCCAACGTCGCTACCGTTTAGCCCAACTTCATCAGCTCTTCCCCTTTTAGGGCACCTAAATCGCCGGGCAATAAACCCCCCTCCCCCTGAAGGAGAGTTAGGTAATTTTCTAAGCGTAGCTTGGAAGTGGCACAAGGCCGAAAGTATGGGGTATGGAGTGAGGATCGAACTAACTACTCAGTCGCAATTGATCTAGCGAGACAAGCTTGTTAACCGTTTCAACACGACTCGGTGCCCAAAGAACGATAGGATATGCAACAAACGGGAAAACTTTAAAAATCTAACATGTTTCGCTTTTATTAAAGCTTCATCAGAAAATAAAATATGGAGGAGAAAAAAGAAAATTCGGATATTTTCAATTTTGGTGTTGTTTGTTTATGGTTAGATAAGCAGACCTCACCTGCATCTGTCTTATCAAGCAGTTTTTCCTGTCTGTGTAATTCCTGTGGGTATGTGTATCAATTCCTCTATGCGGGATGCGGATGATAATGGCTAATTGTTTATGTCTGTGTGTGTGTTGGTGCTAGTGTGTGTGGGCGTGTGTGTGAAGATGATATAATTTAAGTTACACCGGTTGTGGGACAGGTAGACATGTCCTAGATAACCTTATCCTATGAAAGGACATGAAGCAGATAAAAGGTATCTTAAAACAAACACTGAGCAAAAGTTTCATGTAACATAACATTTAAATAAAGAAGAATTGAAGAGACATTTTAACTGTGATTTATGTCTTATGCATATTGGCAGTCATTTTTTCTACCAGCCTCGAAAGAACCAGGGTGTATATGTTCAAATTTCAAATAATTCAGACTATCAATCTTTTTATCTCTAAGCAGTGAGTAGATTTTAGAAATCATTATTCTTAATTTACCAACTACCAACACTTACGCGCAGAATACGCGTGTTGACTGACATATCTCTAATGTAGACAGCCATGACTCCATTTAGTTTTGAAAGTGTTGTGGAGTATTTTCACAGTGGAGGCTTGTATTTCTAATAAGTCGTCCTAAATTAGGTCCGACGTACAAAACGTTAAGAACTTGGAAAATAAGAGGCAATGGCGCAGCAATCTAGTTGTGATGGTTGGTACTTCAAATGTCCGAATCTCGACTGACGCGCTCAACACCATTCTGCCAGACTTGCCACTGCTACTCCTACTTATTATCTATGGGAGAGTCCATTACAATAGAATAGGTACCTAACAGAAAGTATCAATTTTGAATGTAGATTTCCAGTTGAATGTTTTAATCATTTCACTCCAAGCAAAGCAAGAAAGCCACTAAGACGCAAGAGGTTACTGAGTGTGAAAGAATATTAGAAAAATGAAAACAAGGAGAGGTGACAATAAAAGAACAGAAATACAAAAGCGAACGTTTAACATTGCATTTAAATTTTTGAAGATCAAAGTTGACCGGAAAGTAAGAAGCCGGAAGAGAGTTCCACAAGCGAGAAAAGTGACAGAAAAAAAACAGTTAGAAGTTTGTATAAATCAAATCATTTCAACTACAAAAGGATAAGAACTTGCAGCCATTCTTGCCAATTCTTCATCTATGAAGGGGATAAATATCACGTAACTGTTCAATACTCTTTTCTTTGTTTCTCTTTGCTTAGCTTTCGTAATGCGTCTTCGGCCATCCAAATATGCCTTCGAATTTTAGTGTCACATTTTCCGTTCTCTGTTAGAACACTTCCCGGATATTTGAATTTTTGTACTTGTTTGATTTCAGTATCTTTGATTTGTAATTTGCTGTCGATATTCACGTCTATCCATATCGATCAATACTGGTTTCATTTTATCGATAAATGAAGTATATCTGTAGTTATTGATGCAACTGACAAAAGAAACATTTTGAACGAATATCGATATAGCTATTGATTTAATAGTCAGTTAAACCAAAACAGTGGATTAAATGGTGTAATATTAAATGGGAAATACAGAAAGGAGATTTTTCGGCAGCAATAACGAATTTGATCAGCTGGCAGATTTGATACAAATTCCCAAGTTAAATAGAAAGTTTCTGTTGTAAATTGACTCATTTCGCACTTCAACGAACAAATCTGGATCAATATTCACTTGTGATATGACGCAGAACATTTATGTTACAACTGAGATTACGCTTACTTACTGCGTCACCAGCAACTTTTAACAGGTAATTTCGAAATTTTGCTCTCCACATTATATAATAAAACAATAGATTGAATGGTACACTTGGGTCGTTGTTAGGCATAAACATACAAACCAAAGGCATAATATGACATGCCGGTTAAAATACTCTATATTGGAAACAGCCTTTAAACAGCGCTGACTAGTTTCAAGTGCTGATTAAAACATATCGGGCTCACTGGAAATTATTTTAATCATTTCATCCCAAGTAAGGTAATAAAGCCACTGAGACGCAAGGGTTATTGAGTGTTAAAGAATATTAGAAAAATGAAACACTGAGAGAGAACAATAAAAGAACAAGGATTAAGAAGACAGAAGATAACAATTAACATTGCATTAAAATATTTGAAGATCAAAGTTGACTGGAAAGTAAGAAGAGTGAAAGAGAATTAGAAGACTTTAGTGAGGGGAAAGGACAATAAAAGAAGAGGAATTAAGAAGACAGAAGATAACGATTGACATTGCATTGAAATTTTGGAAGATCAAAGTTGACTGGAAAGTAAGAAGAGTGAAAGAGAATTAGAAGACTTTAGTGAGGAGAAAGGACAATAAAAGAAGAGGAATTAAGAAGACAGAAGATAACGATTGACATTGCATTGAAATTTTGGAAGATCAAAGTTGAATGGAAAGAAAGAAGAGTGAAAGAGAATTAGAAGACTTTAGTGAGGGGGAAAGGACAATAAAAGAAGAGGAATTAAGAAGACAGAAGATAACGATTGACATTGCATTGAAATTTTGGAAGATCAAAGTTGACTGGAAAGTAAGAAGAGTGAAAGAGAATTAGAAGACTTTAGTGAGGAGAAAGGACAATAAAAGAAGAGGAATTAAGAAGACAGAAGATAACGATTGACATTGCATTGAAATTTTGGAAGATCAAAGTTGAATGGAAAGAAAGAAGAGTGAAAGAGAATTAGAAGACTTTAGTGAGGGGAAAGGACAATAAAAGAAGAGGAATTAAGAAGACAGAAGATAACGATTGACATTGCATTGAAATTTTGGAAGATCAAAGTTGACTGGAAAGTAAGAAGAGTGAAAGAGAATTAGAAGACTTTAGTGAGGAGAAAGGACAATAAAAGAAGAGGAATTAAGAAGACAGAAGATAACGATTGACATTGCATTGAAATTTTGGAAGATCAAAGTTGAATGGAAAGAAAGAAGAGAAGATGAAAGAGAATTAGAAGACTTTAGTGAAAGGAATTAGAAGAAAGGACAAAAGGACAAAAGAAGAAGAGGAATTAAGAAGACAGAAGATAACGATTGACATTGCATTGAAATTTTGGAAGATTAAAGTTGAATGGAAGGAAAGAAGAGGAAAGAGAATTAGAAGACTTTAGTGAGGGGAAAGGACAATAAAAGAAGAGGAATTAAGAAGACAGAAGATAACGATTGACATTGAAATTTTGAAATTTTGGAAGATAAGAAGAGTGAAAGAGAATTAGAAGACATAAAGGGGAAAGGAGTAAAAAGAAGAGGAATTAAGAAGACAGAAGAAACGAACATTGCATTGAATGAAGAGTTGGCAAAGCATGGAAGAGTTTCACAAAGAACGATGGGAAACTGTTAGCATAGAACTTACGGTTATAGCTAGTCAATTCAACTGTGAAAAGATGAGACCTTAACTCCACTCTAGTACTGCGTTTAAATTCATAAAGTGTAGGTACCCTAGGAGAAAGTTCATCAGAACAATTAATATGAAAATATTTATAGTAAAGCCGATGGGGAAGTTTCGATGTCAAGATGCCAGGTCAGGACCAATAATATTGCAGATTCTGAACCGGTAGAACTAGTGAAAAATCAAGTATTCTGGTTCAGTGGAACAAACAGACAAGACACAAAGTTGAACAAAACCTGTAAGCTGATAAGAAACATGCTACAAATTTTGTAAAAATAACGAGAACAATCTACCCCGCAGATTGAATAAAGTGTTCGATTTCATCTTCCAAGAAGTCGATGAATTATTTTCCATTTTGAAACCGTTTTTCCTATTCTATAGCTATTTCCATTGATGACGAGCTACATTCTAGTTCTACCAGATATTCACAAATAGGTGCTTCCATCTCACATATTCAGGGACGATCCCTTCTCGTTTCCATTATATTCAAATGTTAAGAATAAAGCTCCGGTTTGATAGCTTCTTTCCGAGAGATACCTCACCCCAGACGATGCTTCCCCGAACACAGAAATCTTAACCTCTTCAAGTCTTGGGTTAACCGTTACTTATCTCACATATAGATGTGAGTTGTGGTGTAATGTATATCGGTTCAGAACGATAAATCGATGAGTTCGAATTCCATTCGAGTTCGATAGATTCCCTTACGTGCAAATACCCTTGGGAAAGGTAGGAATACATCTCTTCTTATTCTTTGTTATGTGTTGACTAACAGGGCAGACTGGGTTCTATAGCCTTAGTTGGGAAACCAGTCTACCGCAGAAGAAATTGGCAACCTTGTGCGGGAAAATATTCAAACGTGCTCTTCCAGCATGCCCATAAAATTAACAGAAAAATGATATCTAATGTTGATGCGCAGGCTGCAACATTGCGCAGTAAGCGTTTGCTTATTGCACGTACCCTTATAATCTGCATATGCATCTCTTTTCTTTCTACTATATCCGTACAAGACTCCTGAAGAAAGCCAAACAGTATAACGAACGAAATGTTGTGAGTATAACAATCAAGTTGAACATGTTGGTCGGAGCGGCACTGCAGGACGTGGTTCTCCAAAATTTCCGGTCCTTTGAAGCACTTAATAAATGTTGTTTTTTTGTTATCTATCCTAAACATTGTAACGCCATACATTTACACAAACTTCTAATTCTATAAGACTTGTTCTTTCATGGCTCTCCACAATTTCCTATCCTTTGTAGCTTTGTCTTTTGTCTTTTTGTTCCGCCATCCATTTACTCAATATCATTCTTCTTCTACTATGTACCCAATCCCTTCAGAACGTAGATGATCATGGCTCTCCACAATTTCCTGTTTTTTGTAACACTTAATATATTTTATATTTTCGGTATTTCTTCTAAACCTTGTTCCACCATTGTTTACTAAAACTTCTTCTTCTTCTTCTTTGTGCCGTGTTCCTTTAGAACGTAGGCGATCATGGCTCTCCACATTTTCCTGTCATTTGTAGCTCTTAATAATTTTATTTTTCTTATTTCTCCTAAACCTTGTTCCGCCATCCATTTGCTCAATTTCATTCTTCTTTTACTATGTGCCTTATCCCTTTAGGACGTAGGCGATCATGGCTCTTCACAATTTCCTGTCTTCTGTGGCTCTGAACAAATTTTGTCTTTTTGTTATTTCTTCTAAACCGTATTCCGTTAATTCAAGTTCACTAAGTAGGTTATGCATTGTTTTCCTTTGTCCTTCTTGCCTTCAATCTGTCCTGTGAGTATCAGATTTTCCAAGTCATCTTTCCTAGGAATTCCAGCTGTCTCTTCCTGATGTAAAATATAAGTTTCCTTTTTTCTTTCTATTTCGTCTAAAACTTCGTCTTTGCTCACATATTCTGCGAATTGTATCCTCAGCATCCTTCTGTAGAAACCACATTTCTGTTGCTTGACATGTTCATCTGCGAAGAGATTTTCCAGCATTCACTGCCATATAGGAGAACAGATATCACATAACAGTTCAGTATATTTTTTCTTTGTTTCTAATGAAGTTTTTTCTTAATACTCTGCTTAGATTTTGGAATGCCTCTTTCGCCATCCCAAATGCGTCTTAGGATTTCAGTATCTTATTTTTCATCCTCTGTTAAAACACTTTCCAGATATTTAAATTTTTGTACTTGTTTGATTTTGCATCGCCGATTTAGAATTTGTATTTTGGATTCATCCTTTTGCTGAAAACCGTGTATTCGCTCTTCCCATTTACTCTCTTCTTTAGGAGTTTCCGCTTTCCTGTATCAACATCGATTTTCTCTCCTATTTCTTTACACAGCAGTAATCATTGTTTAATTTTGTATTCATTTTAACTTAATAATAATATATTGAAATTATGCAGAACGTTTCAGAATTTTTGACAGTTTAATTACCGAAGTAATTTTACTCGCAAATTTATTTATTCACTTATCTAAGAATGTATTTAATTTTGACTCAACAAATATTTCGAGGGATATTTTTTATGGCATCTGAAGAATACTGGAACCAATGTCTTGGCAAAAAAATGAGGAGAACATCAAAATAAGCCTTAATCTGAATTTGATTTCTTGCTTTTGATTGACTGGTTTTTATGTCTTATCAACCCTTTGCAGGTTATTTTAAGCCAGAAAATATTTTTAGATTTTAAGAATTTCGTTTTTGGAGGTAATAATGTTTTAGTGATATAAGTCTTACTAATTAACCCGAAAAGAAGTGAATTGATATCTTTCCTAAGACTATTTCACGCATAAACGAATATAATAATTTCAATAAGAATTACAATGACTTTATTTTCACTTGTAGTACTGATTCTTTTTTATGTCTTATCAACCCTTTGCAGGTTATTTAAAGCCAACAAATACTTTTTGATTGTAAGATTTTTAGTTTTAGTTAGTAATGATTTACTGATTCAAGTCTTACTAATTAACCCTTAACTGGGGGAAGAAGTAGATTCATACCAATCTCAGATGGTATTTCTACATAAGTGAATATAACGAAACCTACGGGATTTTGGAACTTATCATTCCGATTAACAATTCCGAGCCATTGTCTATTATACCATATGCACATCCAAGCTTACAGCGCCTGCTATTTCCAAACGGTAACCCATCTAGATACTGGCTAGGTTCGATGTTGCTTAACTTGTTGATTATACTTAAGCCAGTTGATTTATTGCGTTGTACGTAGAAGACCTTCCAATACAATTACTTTACTCTTCAAACGTGTCAATTGCTCACTGTAAGTTTGTTGAGTTATAGTTTCTCCAAGTTCCAACAGTTTCCTTTGAATCCTATCAAACACCAAGAAGAACGTTTTTGCAGAGTGTTTTCTTCTTTTTTATATGGATGATCACGATTCTCCACAACTTCCTTTTTTCTAGCTTTCAGCTACACTTTCTCCTTTATAACTCTCTTTGCCTTTAGGTACTTCTTCCTCCATTGCTTCCCCCAAATTTGCCAACTAGATTCACTCTCTCTTACAATATATCATAACCAACAATGGGAAATAATGGTTCTCCACAGGGTCCTATACATTATTGCATATTTTTCCATTTCACTTTGTCTTTTTTTCTGACATTTAAACTGCGTTAGTCACTTCAGATTTATAAAAACGGATAATCCCCAAGAGTGTTTACAGACCCCAATACAAAAATGCCTACAGTGTTACAATTATGTAAAATATTATCGTACTGCTGAAAACAATAACATAACAGACAATCTTCGCTACAATATGTATTAAATCAAATCTTGAACTGAAGATATAATTATTGATTGAAATGAGAATTGTAATTGTATATATAAAATGGGAAATACTAAAATAATGTTGTATGTATAAAGCCGGTAACAAGTAATGTATATTATGTATGGCGGAGATGTTAGCAATAGCTACCTTCAACAAACCAAAAAAATTATTAAGCCAGAGGTCAGAAGTTCTTAATAGATGCAGGCATAAAAAGCTTGGTTATTAGAATAAAGTTGTTTTTTTTTATTCACATGTTTTGTGTCATTTTAGGCTTATGCTAATTTTAGGTTTTAGCCGTAATTTTATCAGTAAATTTGTCTCTCGTTAATTCCTCCTTAGCCAGTTCACCCTGATGATCACATGTGGTGAAACATAGGTAGGCAGGTCCTGGCTCATTAAGATTTATTTATTTTACTTTTGTTCTACTTAGCATATTGAGCACACTTCGTTTTAATATTACTCGTTGTTTTTTTCTTTATACCAGAAATATAAGGTACTGGACGATTTTTTTTTACCCTGTTCAGAGGTTTCCTGTGCTTTCTGTTATTTTCCAAATTTTTTCCTCGGATGCCAATTTGTTTGAAAAATGTGCTATCCATGTTTTTCACACACCGATTTTAAATGGATTTATATTATATATATATATATATATATATATATATATATATATATATATATATATATATATATATAAAAAAGAAGAGAAGAGAGGTGCCGCAAACGTTTTTGGTTGTAATGTGTTTTTTAGAAAAAAAAATATTATGCTTTATTTTCCATAAATAAAGCATAATATTTTTTTTTCTAAAGAAAAGACATGAATGATTTTTTCCTCTCACAATTGCTCAGTTGGGAAAATAACGGTGTTGAAACAAAACGATGTTAACCTCTTCTCTTTCTAATGGAATAACTCAAAGTGTTTTCCAGTGATTCTTATGATAAATAGTGTCAAGATGACTAAACGTCTTATTCGGAAAACTGGAAAAAGAAACTCAATTAATTTAGCAATTTAGATATTAAATATTTTGTGGGATGGATAATTATTATGTCTGTCTATTTTTATAATAATCATTTTTAGTTCTCTAATTATAATTTTGATGTTAAGTTGAAATTCATCAAGAGAGGCTCAGTATGTTTTGTTAACCCAACTACTTTCGATCATATGATGGACTCTCCAGCCGATTTCGATTTAGGAGGATCCGACAACCTCTTTTTGTGTTTGTGCCTTATGTGACACTTCAGTCCCGCTGGTGATCTGCATACATGCCCACATATTTCGGGAAATCGCAACAGGAATATTTGCTGAGGCTTTTCGCCTCTGTCTATTGTCTCTTAGCCGCTTAATAAGACTGATTTCAAAATTTCTGATACTATTCTGGCACAAATATATCCAGCTATTTAAATCTAGGGTAACTGGCTCAAACTCAACGGAACGTGACAGCTGAGAGGTTACTCTTTAACTTATCTTTATATCTGAGCCACGGCCTGGATATGAGGGCTTTCAGCATTGTCCGTATTGTGTTGTTGGTTGTTCCGAAGACGGTTCAATTCAGAAACTGATAAAACTTGAGATCTGTTGTTCAACATTTCTGAGGCAATATTTTGCACGGATTATATATATATATTCGGTTTATGTGTTATTTTTATAGATACAAACATTGAAGCAAATGCTCTGTTTATAATAAAGTGTATTAACTACATTTACCAGCCTGAATGTCCGAGAAATTTCATAGAAAATATATGTCCCTCGACAGGAATCGAACTTGTATCTTACATGGAACCGTCATTTGACCTGACATGATATACCATTTAGCTGCAAAGGAAGCATCTAGTTAGCAAGTTAGAATTTTGTCCATTTTATATTATATATATATATATATATATATATATATATATATATATATATATATATATATATATATATATATATATATATATATATATATATAATATATATAAAATTATTCTAAAATATTCGAGTTTGTCAGATTGTAATAAGTTTCACGAGGATGAGTAAATATAATTTTATTTAATAATAATATTTTCTAAGATTTGCACCATTAAAAATGAATTTTAAAAGATTTTAAAATATTATAAATTATTCTAAATAAAATGGTAAAAAAATGAAAACCAATCTTGTAAAAATTCATGGAAAATTTTTTCTTAATAATATTCTCTTTAATAGTATTCATAAAACTTCTCTAATTAGAATAATGTCTTAGTTTTATTGCATTTATATTTTACGATTAAGAGCAGATTTTTGGTAAGAAGAGGTCCGATTTCCCGCTCCCAACCCCAAAAAGTGATGAAGATTTAAATTTTCTGTTCTACTTTTTAACTAATATAATCACTAAAAATTACCACGCTAAATTTCTCGAGGTTTTTAAAAAAATTAAGTATTGTGAAATACATGTGAAAATCATATCTTTACCTAGATTTTGTAAACAGAAGTATTTTTTTCAATAATTTCGTTCATTTATGAACAAATACTGAAAATTTAATTAAAATCCAACAATTATTTGATTTTTGCAATAATTTTCAAATTAACGTTTCTATCAATGCAAAATTGTTAATTTATAATGCAAAAACTTTAATCAAAATTTGAAATGTTCTAAACAGGATTAAAAAATTTAATTAAGTATTCAAAAATACTTTGATCTTTCCTCTTAATAATAACAAAGATTTTGATGATAAAACTATGTTTTCATTAAGTTTGAAGCATTTTTTCATCACAGTATGTTAATATTTTAGTGATATTGTGACGGTACTTAATTTAATTCTATGTAGCTCTATCCTCAGTATATTGAGCACTGTATATGAAAACAACGATTAATTGTATTGAATTGAAATTCAATTTCAGTTGTTTAATTGTGTTGGGAAAAAGGAAGAAAGAAATTATTTCAACGCATCCTGATGTCTGTTTTCCTAATTTCATGTTGAATCGATTTTCCTAGTTTGTGATATTTGGCTGCAACATTCGACTGCGTAAAGCTTTAGGTCGTTTCCTTAAACTTGCCGCATGGATGTAATTAGAAACTTACATATCGACAAAACATTAGTAATCTAATGTTATCGTCTCTGTAAGACTAATCATGCGTCCTGATCGAGAGATTTTGATGAACGGAGAAACAACTCTTAATTGTATTTGTTCCCAGGTCCACCCTAACTCTGGGTGGTAGCACCTGTTAGGGCCTCAGATATGGGCAAATAGTTAACCCCTAGACTGGGTTCAAAACATTATGAAAGTATAAAAATACATTTTCTGAAAAAAATTACCTGCAATACATTTCTAGAAAAAATATTACCAGATAATTAATATTTTAGATAAAAAAATAATATTACCAGCAATACATTGTTGGATAAAAATGTACCAGCAATATATTTTTAGAAACAACGTAACGTAAACCACTCGGTGGACCATTTCGTACCAGGCGGTGGACCATCTGGTACGGCGCCGTGGATTATTTGGTACCGAGTCGTGTGTCATTTTGATATCGGGCCGTGGACCAATTGGGACGGGTCCGCACAGAAAGAATAGAAATTTTTTCCCCATTTCATTGGCCTTTGATGCCTTGTTTATTGTGCTTTGAATGCGTGTGACAGACACGCCCCGCCTCTCGGTCCATGGAAAAATTGTCTTACATGACAACCGGTCAGTGGCAAAAAACGTTAGAAGGCCGCTGTTTTAGTGTATACAGGCATTTGGTTAGTCATTTCGGTCAAATGGTGCAATTAATATCTACCGGCCTGAGTATTCAATAGTCTTTAATAAAAGAGAGTTGCCTTTCAGCAGTGTTCGAATCCGCACCTTCTTATATAGGGGAAAACCACGTTTAAACTTGGCGTGCCCTAGCCTGCTCTGCCACGAAAGCCTTCACAGGAGAGCTAAGTTTAATTACTCTTCGTTATTTAAATCGATCACCGAAGCAATATATTTCCGAGTAAGAAAACTAGAGACCTAATCGATACGTATCTAGGTGAAGCTGAAATGTGATAAAGACTACAAAACCTAAAAAAAAATCAATCATTCATATAAAAGACAGTAATGGCCGTGTAAAAAAAATAGGATAACCATTTGGAGAAAATGTGCTGACACCCTTCTCAATGATTAATATTGGTTTTGGTTCATTCTAACGATGCGAAGGTATCGACTTGATTCTTGCTTATTACCTGTAATTAGAGACTTTCAATTATTACATTGTCGGTCAACACTTTGTAGTCAAAAAGACTTTGAATAGACATTTGCTTTGTCCTTACATATGAAAGGATAATGTATTTAAAAGACATTTGTCTAAATATTTGATTGAGTTCATAAATATTTGTCAAACGCCCCTGGAGCTACAGAAAATAATATATGGACATGTCTGGCTATGATTAATTTTCTTTTCAAAATGAATCTCCTCAACGCTTTTTCTATTGCCAATGCTTCTGAAAATGTATTGTTTCTTTTATCATCTATTTTCCGTTTCTTCTGAATTTTCAAGGTTATGTTCTCATCCGTGAATATTTTGTTTAAACTTCATTTCCTATTTTTAGGTTACATTTCTCTTACGACCTATAGCAATCATTAAATCAAGAAATAAATATGAAATAAATAATATATAGACTGATTATATCAGTCCGTGGATAACAATATATACGGCCCCGGAAAAAACAAAATTTGGTCGAGCACTTTAGAGGGAAAGCACGAATATGTAAACATAAAAAGGAAAGCTTATAATCTACAGTACAAAGGAATCTAGTTCAACATATTTCAACAGGCATGTATTTTTATGCCATCAATTCATTTCCCTTGTTTAAGAAGTTCGGGTTATTTAATTTTAATTAATTTTTCTAGAAAGCATAACACATCTATCACCTTTCTTGTAAGATTTGGTTTTAGCTACAATATCCAACGTAATAATGTATGTGTTACCAATTCTTATGTTGTTAAATTCTTTGTCAGAAATGTTTTCCTTTAATAGTTTTAGGCCCATTTATTATATATATATACCCAAGTATATGATTGGTGTATACGGAATGAAGACACTGGAGGTGTTGAAACAAAATGGCTATTTTTGTAGTGATTTTATAACATGTTTATGTTATAATTTTTAAATAAATAATTATATATATATATATATATATATATATAATAAAATACAATTAATCCCCGTTTAATTTGTATATAAAATAAAAACATTAACCCCATATAATACAATGGACTGCACCAGCATTGCGTTCTTGGATCGCACAGTCATAATTTGAAGACTTTCGAATGCCCAGGCCGGTAGACGTAATTTACACTTTAAAAACATTGCTACTCAACGTATATTTGTACTAAATATAACAACCGTCGCAGTTGAATATAGAAATAAAAATAACTATTTCATTTTAAAAAAGAGTAAACAAAGGAAAAATAATTTTATGCCCCAAATTTTGGGCGCATGAAATTACTTCCAGAATTTTCCTAAATTAAATTCTGGGCGGTTTCCTTGATGACACGTTACTTATTCTGTTGGAATAACTCATCTTTGTTAGAAAACATGGATTCCATGAATAGAGTCAAATCACACCGAATCATTGCAACGTGAGTTGATACGTTTAGGCGGGGAGCGAGTTACGCAAACTGTGCTATCAGAACGCACCCACATTGTCACTGTGATGCATGGAATCATGTTGTCTGCGACACAACTGAAACCTGCCCTAAGATGGAAACAATTAGAACTGTTTTAAGCAAGTGACGCCTGTGGCTCTTAGCTTAAATCATTCTTCTCCGAACTTTATGAATTGGTGATACACAATTCCAAACAAAAAACTGTACCAAATAACAGAAGCACTTGAGGACTACCAACAGCAGCAATAACTTAAATGGATAGCACGTGTAACTCGAAGAGAAAATAATGATATAATCAAGATGTTGTCATTTCACACAACTTCAAACAAAATCTTAGGAAGGAAACTCCCAACAATGCTAGAAAGAGCGATAACAGATACTGGACTTGAGAAATCTATTTTCCTGAAAATTTTTTTTAATGGAAAGATTTTATAAATTTCGACCAAATTTAGTACCAGTTGCTCGGGCAGTAAATACTGAATGTTTCCTTATAGGGAAACAGCTAATATTACCATTACGATTACTGTCAACAGACCATGTTCCTAATCATATGGGTTTATATATATATATATATATATATATATATATATATATATATATATATATGTGTGTGTGTGTGTGTGTGTGTGTGTATGTGTGTGTTTGTGTGTGTGTGTGTGTGTGTGTAAAAATATATAGAAAATAGGAAAGAACTCGTTAGGTAAATAATCCAAAGTTCTTTTAGTATTTTTGTTATAATTTTAAAATCAGTGCTCGTTACAAAAGTAGAGCCTAAATATAATTATTTATTTAAAAATATGATTCCAACGCTACGTAAGAGTTCTCATGTTTCAAAACAATAGCTGAAAACTTCGATATAATTATTTGAATTAAATTGAATTAAAGTACTAAGCTCTGTTCCATCTTCAAGCGAATTTTTTTTTGGATTCCCCCGCCCCCCCCCCCAAATCGCTTGGATACAAAGCTTGGTACTTTAATTCAATTTAATTCAATTAATTTTATTGAAGTTTTCGGCTCTTGTTTTGCAACATGAGAACTCTTATGTAGCGTTGAATCATATTTTTATATATATATATATATATATATATATATATATATATATATATATATATATATATATAAATTCACGGATCCAGGTTATGCGTTGTAGTGTAGTATTAATAGTAGCGCCGTGATGTGTCATCTGTTTCCGTAAACCATGGATGCTGAAGACGCAGAACTGACCTTCGAGGTTAGCGTCTAGTGTCACTTGTACTGAATGTTTTTGCGATTTGTACGAGTCTCGCTTGTTTGTTGATGAAGACATTTTTTGCCAGACGCCGCTAGTTACTCTCATTAATGACACATAGTCGACTACTGTGCTGTTTACGATAGAGTCAGAGTCGCCCATCAGGTATTCAGATACGTACCTGATGTTAACTTCGTAATATCAGAAATAGAATATTCATCCGTCTGGCACTCGCTAACACTCTCTATTCTAGCTCTGAGATTTCACACCTTGATCAAAGGTGGTGGGATATGTTAGGGTC